GGGGAACATATTCAGTGCACGGTGGTATATGTGACATTCAAGGGCATTTGCAAGCAGCTCTAAGCCACTTATTTTGTTTTTTCTTCTATATTACTTCATGCCAGTGCATTCTGGGGCTTCAAGAACATCACAAATAGTTCTCAAAATTTACCATCTACTTTCATAGCACTCTGCCATTGCTCATGTGGTTCATTCTGCTTGGATAGCTTTTCACCCTTTGCTGCCTGACGAACTATTATTTGTCCTTCAATTGTCCAGGTCAAATGCCACCTCTATTGTGAAGTCAGCTTGGATTTCCTCTTCTTTGCACTCATATCACTTTGCGTATACTTTTATCAAATTCAAATAGCCTGGGTTCAAATCTGCCAGATTCTAAATGTGTGACCTTAAGCAAGTTACTTATTTATACTTCAGTAACCTCATTTGTAAAATGGGGGTCATTATAGCACCTATTTCATACGGTTGGTGTGGGGATTAATGAGTGACTGTGTAAAGTTCTTAGAGAAATGCTTGGCACATAATAAGCATTGGATAAATTGTTTGCTATTAGTATTACTATTATGCCATGTTAAGTGAAAACAATAAGGACAAAAATGTTTATTCATAGTTTAAATGTAGAGAAATGTTTTCCCTATGACCCTCTGGTGACCTTGCACTATTCACATAGTCCATGTAGGCAAAATTGAATTACAGTAAGAGTCGGGTCTTGGTGGAACATCCTGTGATCCTCCTGGAACATGGGAAGATAAGCAGTCTTGCGAGCTGCCTCAAGGCTGTTTCTTATCTGCTTCTCTACCTTGTGGGAGGCTGCCATGAGGCAGTTTCTCATCCTACTCCCTGATTCCAGTAAGACATAGGACTTTCCACCTCCCTCCCCTGGGGTACAGATGTAAACTATAAAAGCAGCTAGCTGCAGTCTAGAGTTGGTTCTTCAGCAACAGAGTGCCCTGTTGCTTGTGTTGCCTGTCATTTGGCCCCTTTGGTTCAATGTCTTCCTGTGGGCAAACGGATACAGGGAGCTGACACATACTGATCTTGCTAATACTGTCTGTGTAAGTAATAAACTCTATCTTTTTGGGGTCATTGTTTCCTTATTGGATGAATCTATTAAAGTCTGGCAAGCCCACCTAGTAGCTGCCACTGCACTACTGCTTATGGACTGCTTGATGTCTCGACAGTAAGCTCCTTGAGAAAAGAAGAATATTGTTTATTTTGTTCAACACTGTATATCCAGTATCTGGCCCATAGTATCTGGTACATAGTAAGTGCTCAATAAGTATTTGTTGAATTTTTAAAAATTATAGCAAACAATGAAACATATGTATTCAAAGATATATAGTCAAGGATGTATATCAAACCCATTACAGTGGGAGATTTGTGGGGAGGGATGGAGACTATAGCTAGAAGATGAAGGGGACAATAAAAAACAAAATAAAATAAAATAAAACAAGGTAGGGGCCTTCTACTCATTAGGTTTAAAGAAAAGTGTATGTGTCACCTAGGAAGAAAAAGCCCTCTAGCTCTCCTATTATTTTTACATTAATTTCTGTGAGTATTTGATACCTTATAAGCCTGACATTAGTTTCTCAACTGTAATATAAGGAGAGACTAGACCAGCATCTTCCAAACTGTTTACCAAGGAACCCCAGTCATTCTCCTAAGAGCTGCCTCATGAGTGGTAGTACCTTTATAATTAAGGCAGTGGTACTTTTATGTGTCTTATACGTTGGGATTTCTCACAGAAATTTGTTTGAAGAAAAACCTTAACAGCTAAAATCAAAACAAAACAAACCTGTAAACCACTGGCTTAGGGAAAGTTGGTAGCTACAAACTTGGGAGTAAAGCAGCAGAGGATAACAATAGGGCAGGCAGAATTAGAATAATGGGGCTCTTTGGCTTTGGGGTTAGAAGGAAGGTTTGCTGAAGACATATATATTCCTAATTCAGTATTTTGTTTAGAACCATCACTTTGATTTGGGATTCATAAATCTTGCTTTCTTTTCTGGAGTCTAGGGAGAATAAAGGAAAGGATGGTCCTTGTAATTTTTTTTTTTTTTTTGAGACAGAGTCTCACTGTGTTGCCCCGGCTAAAGTGCGGTGGCATCATCCTAGCTCACAGCAACCTCAAACTCCTGGGCTCAAGCGATCCTCCTGCCTCAGCCTCCCGAGTAGCTGGGACTACAGGCATGCGCCACCATGCCCGGCTAATTTTTTCTATATATTTTTAGTTGTCCAATTAATTTCTTTCTAATTTTAGTAGAGACGGGGTCTCGCTCTTGCCCAGGCTGGTTTCGAACTCCTGAGCTCAAACAATCCGCCCGCCTCGGCCTCCCAGAGAGCTAGGATTACAGACGTGAGCCACCGCGCCCGGCCGGTCCTTGTAAATTTTTAAACCCGAAACCACTCCTTGTGCTTAAACAGATTATACTCCTATTACCTTACTCAGCTTAAGCAAGGTCTATTTTCTTAAAGTCTCTGGATTATATTGTTATATATAGACCAGGTCCAGGACCCAAATAACATATTTAGCCAATTCTAAGGTGCAGTTCTTCCCACATTATAATGTTTCCGATATTAAGATGCCTCATACAATCAATGCATACATTTAATGTGATAGTGTACCTATTTTTCCTCTTAAGTGTGGTTATTAAGTAAATGGCATGTTTATAATTTGATATTGTCTTAGATTAAATTAAACATCATATTATTAACAGGAATGATAAGCATATAAATTTGAGCAAAAATACTTGATATAGGTTCAACAGCCTCTTTACTCTGAATCTTACTAGGGAGGTTAAGCAATGATGGTGGATGTCATCATTAATATGCCTAGAGGGTAAAAATCAAGCTACAAATTGGAGCTTTTTTATATTTTTTGAGAGTCATCTTACCAATACACCATTGCCAATATTTATTCTTTATTCTGGTTATACTCACTGCTTACTCAAATATGCCATGCTATTTCATGCCTGGATACCTTTCCTTGTGCTCTTCCCTCTGCTTGGAATGCCCTTCTTGGAATGTTGTCCACTGTAGAAATCCTATCCACCCAAACAGAGTTGATCCTTTCCTGCTTTATGTCACTATGTACCTGATATATGACTCCAAATTTGTACTTACCATACTGAACTGCAATGATTTGTTAGGTATCCATCTCCTTTACCGTAAATTCCTTGAGAACAATTGGCTGTTTATTATTTATTTTTGTATCTCTAGTACTTAAGACAGTGCTTGCTATGTAGTCATTCATTGGGTATTTAAAGACTGAATAAATGAAGAAATAAAGAGTAATAATGGAAAGAAAGAGAAAGGGAACAGTATATGAGTGGTAAAGTGCCATAGCACCAACAGATGCTTTATTTGCTACTTCCATTCAGTGGTATCCATGCCTTATCCAAACCTTCTGAACTCCTAGAGGACTTACAATTGTCTATACTGAGTTTAATTCTTAAAAATAAAATGAGTTTGTTTATGTTAGTTTGTCTCCTCAGTTGATTATAAATTCATTAGAGGGAAGTATCAAGTCATCTTCTGTATATACTTATCACATTTTAGATAAATCATGTATTCCTATTACGAGGTGCGATTTAGTTTCCAAGATTCTTCATTCTGAATATCTTTATTATTAAAACTAGTAGTAATTTGCATGAGAGAAATGGAAAGGCTAGCAACAGTTTTTATTTATTTAGGGCATAGAATTTCTCCAGAATTTAGAGCGATTCCTAACACTAGCCACCAAAAACACAATTTTACAGTAATTTAAGAGAGAGGAATTTGAATGTTACTGGTAAAACCCTGGGAGCTAATTACTTCAAGATTACTTGAAACCTTAACTCATTAGAGTTTGAAAAATCTCCCGAGGTACTTAACGTCACTATTCCCATTATGCTACTTGATTCAAATGAATGTCTTAGATTTTGCTAATAAGAGAAAACCTGACGTTTACGCAAAAGAGAAATTCCATTTATCATTTGCTTAAGGAAAAAATATTAAGCATCTCCCATGGGTAGCTCAGTATTCTATAATGTATTATAAGAGAAGAGGGAAAAAGATAGAAACATAGCCCCTGATCTCAAAAAATAAAATTTTAACGTAGGAATCACTTGTATATGTTGCCAAAATGAGCAAAATCACACACTCCTAGATTAGGCCTAGATTTTTCAGCAAGATTATTATGAGCATCAAATAAGCAAAAGTAAGGTGGTATCATTGATACTGTTGATATTACCATTGCTATTATATACAAACAATGAGTTGGCAAAGGATGCTTTCCAGCATGCTATAGTGTCATTCGGATAAGGGAGCCAAGTAACATTTTAGATGTCTTCTTAGCATTTTTAATCAGAAGTTCCAAAAATTAAGAAAATCCCTTTTTAAATCCCCCAATACAAGCTGAGTCATTGCAAGAAATACAGATATAAAAAAGGTAAAGACAGATTCAGGGAAGGAAATATTTCATTCTGATTGCTTGTCAACTCATCAGAAGTTAATATCCAATCAGATGGCATGCATGAGACAGAACTAGAATGAAAGAAAATTTAGTCCAATCACATTGAGCCGTTTTAATAGGACTAGAAATCGTGTATTGTGTCATATGATTCTATTATGTTTATTTGTGAGTCTTATTCAAAATATGGAAACTTAGTATATTTTGTACATGTTACCTATTTAATTTTATTTTTTCAGGTGGGGGTTTTGCTGTGTTGCCCAGGCTGGTCTTGAACTCCTGGGCTCAAGCAATCCTCTCACCTCAGCCTCCCAAGTAGCTGGGATTATAGGTGCATGCCACCATGCCTGGTTTCATGCTATTAATTTTAAATTGTCCATCACACTATTCCCCTAGTATCTGAAACACATCAACACTATTTTTAAAGAGTTTACAGCCTTGTCTACAATATTATATATATATATGTATATATATATGTATACATACATACAACAGTCAGTCAATTTAGCTACAACAATCATATAGAAAATGGGGAAGGGGAGGAGAGGCTTACCACTAGATCCTGACAACATGCTGTTGAAGGGTCCTTTCTTGTCAATGTCAGGAATATATCCTCAGTTCCCACCTGCTGTTGGAATACAATCTCATATCTGAAAAAATGTCAATGATAATAGAGACTTAAAAGGAAGAGCAATTTCCTGTCACAGAGTGGAAAACTAGAAACTTATGAGGATATGCTATTTATAAAAAAATAAAAGGACTAAATAAAATGCTTGCAGTTTTTCAGGCATGTAGTAGAATATAAAGGAAAAGAAGTCTAGCAATGCAGTAAAAATACCAAACACTGAAAAGCAGGATTGTTATTACTTTCTAAAATAAAGCTTAATTGTTTGAAAGCTATACAAATAAAATGGATTGAGGGAAATTCTAATAAAATTCTGATACGGTTAAAAGCAGAAGAAAAAAAGGAAGATCTGTTCCTGGAAAACAATGGCTCAGAAAAAATACTGGGGCCGTAACCCAGGGTTTGATGGATAGATAGAAATCCTCTGCTTAGTTTAAACCACAGAGTTAGAAAATCCAGGTTTAGTACTGTTTCTGTCATTAACTGTGGACCTTGGTTAAGTCGCAAACTCACGGGGTCTCAGCTTCTACATTTGTATGATTTGTGGGAGTGGTTGGTTTGAACTAAATTGTCTCTATGGTCTTTTCAACCTCTACAATGTTGTAATAGAAACTAGTAATGCAGTCAGCACAGCTACATTATAGTGTTTAGAATCTAGTACTACAGAAAAGTTGAATGGAAGATTTTTCTGGTATTTCACCTCACACCTGACAAGTCTTTCCTTCTTTCCAAATTTGGGCCCCTAGGGACAGAATGATTTATAGAAGCACCCAGCAATAAGGTACTCTGTCTCTTCATATAGCATAAAACAAACCTTTACAAATTATTTTTTCTGCTTAATTCTACCCTAATGAAGAAATGGGAAATCTCTGCATAGGAAGACTAAAGGACTATATTGAACTTCTGACCATTTGCAAATAAGAATGCCCAAGAGTGAAAAAGGAATTTCTCTGAGTTCGAACAGGACTAACAATAAGTAGCTATTTGATATGGGGCCCTTTTCTCTTAATAGGCTATAATATCTCCCAAGTATTTACAAAGGTGAAGCCAGGTTAAAACAATCAGAGGTGATTGATCCACATGCTCGTGACTCCCAAATGGATTTTCGCAAGCTCCTGCTCTTATCCTGAGCTCCAGACACAATTTTCTAACTGCTTACCATATAGGTTTGCCTTGGATGTCCTAAAGGCACCTCAGAGTCTACATGTACAAAGCCAAACTCACTGCTTGCTTCTCCTCCACCTATAATCCCTATCAAAGTTATTGCATCACCATTTACTCAATCACCTAAGCTAGTATAATAACTTTAGCATCGTCTTTGATGCTTTCCTCTCATCCATTTTGTCTAATCGAATACCAAATCTGCCTGCAAAATTCTCAAAGACCTCATACTTCTCCCCAAGGCCAGTGCCTTAGCTGAGGCCCTTGTTATTATTTTATTTGGCCACTTGTGATTCTTCTTTTGTGAACTGCCTGTTCATGTTCCTTACCTGTTTTCCTCTTTACCCGCTGGAACATTTTGAAATGCATTTTCATAAGGTAGAAAATAAAGATAAAAAACCTTATAAAGCAATTTTTCTCATATCTTGACTGGAGTTATTATTCATTTAAAGCTTTCATGGATGTTCTATCTATAGAACATCAAATATCAGGATGAAAGTGAAAAATTTACTCAAATTTGAAGCTTACTGCATATGGATATTTGACATTCTTTAGACAATATGACAAATGAGTGACTTAATTCTTACCTTTCATATGGATGTGTGGGCACTGTGTAAACATAACCTGAGATTTACTCTCTTCATTCTTAGGATGCAGACAGAAATATTGTTCTAAAATTTCCTTTGATTTTTTTTTGTGAGGTTTATGGTTTTGACATTGTTTATCTGAAAGCTGGATACTACTTTCTAGTTAGATATCTGCACTCTCCCACTGCTTCTATTTTCAGAACTGACGTAGAAGATGGAAGCATAGGGTTTTTTTTTTTTTTAAGTATTGGACAGTTTTGTGGTCAGAATTAGAATTAGAAAAGTTGTCAGATCACTTTCCATAGAAGTCGTTAAGAATTTATAAAGTACATTGTAATTTAGTAAATATTGGCTTTGTCTTTCTAGCTATTCTAAATATTCAATTGAGATTTTATTTCAATATATATCCATATATTTAAAGCTTAGTCTATTTAAATATTAATTGCAACTATGTATATAAACATACTTTAAGTTCCTTAAAAGTATGAGTGGTTTTTAAAATCAGAATGAAAAGCTTTTTATAATAATTCCAAATTTAGTATTTACAATTTGATGATATTGAAAAGGATACAAAGCAAGGCTTGAATCCTGCTTGCAAAATATACTGAATGCTAAGTATAATCTTGAAATATCTAGTAAATAAGTCTGGGTAGTAATTGATAACTGGAGGGAGATCATTGTCTTTTACTGAAATTGTAGAACATTGAATAATTAAAAGCAGGTCTTTGACACATAAACATGGTATTTTTATTTATTTATTTATTTATTTTTATTTCAGCATATTATGGGGGTATAGATGTTTAGGTTACGTATGTTGCCCTTGCCCCCCCTCCCCCCACAAATCCGAACTTCAAGCGTGTCCAGCCCTCGGATGATGCGCATTGCACTCTTTGTGTATGCATATATCCGTCCCCTCCTCCACCCCCCCGCCGCCCGACATCCAATAGATGTTATTCTTATATGTACACTTATGCGTTGATCAGCTAATACCAATTTGATGGTGAGTACATGTGGTGCTTGTTTTTCCATTCTTGGGATACTTCACTTAGTAGAATGCATTCCAG